GCTACACTCTGTATAAATGCTCCACAAGCTAATATCTGCTAACAAGTTCAATAAATAACAGTGATTACATCGACTTTATAAGATTATACTGTTACATTATGTTCTGCTCAGATCACATTGAGCTAAATAAGATCAACTCTGCTGACTTGTGTTGTAAAATGAGACGTTTTCCTGTTTATCTAATGTTAATAAATCCATAACACAAACAGCTTTTCTGGCATTATTTAAATATTAGATTATGTAAACTATAAAATATTAATAATAATTGGGTTGATATTATTATTAACAGTTTTTATGATTTCTACATCGTCGGTCCTTTTTTTTCTGCTCTGTTGTCAACATGTACAGTAATGGGAAATCCAGACTCTTGACCGTTTTGTGTTAGTCGTTAGCTTAACCAGCCGATCACACGGTCACGTGGTTTCTGCACACTCCAGCTGTTCTCTCTAGAACCTCCTTGGTTGGGGTGGTAAATAACACACTCTAGTGGACAAACATGGTTTGGCGCTGSTGAATATAAAACGCTTTAGTTGTACTTTACAGTTCTATATTACTGTAACTTTGCTAAAATTGGCATCATTAATTTACCACCAAATATAATAAGTTAGGTGGTAAATTTGCTGTTTTAGCTTGACAGATATAAATGTAGTTACCACATGTTCAGCTTGGAATGAAAATTAGTTAAAGCTTTCCATAAGTTAAATGAAAACAGGTCATAAATTATACCCTAYAAGGAAGCATATTTGCATTTGTTATAAAATTTAACAGCCATTGGAACAATGCTGTATTACACATTTTTCAGGCGTGAGCAACACAGCCTTTCACCAGCTGATGGAGTTCACATACACAGCCACGCTATCTATGGCAGGGGAGAGTGAGGCGAATGATGTGTGGAAGGCGGCTGAGTATCTACAAATGCAGGAAGCCCTCAAAGCGCTCGACGATATGTAAGTTTTAAGTACATAATTTTTTCTGATGAACAGTTGTCACTGAAATTATAATTTATGAATGTTGCAGTTGTTAAAGGGATCCATAATTAGTTGTAACATTAGACTTTTTTTGATAAACATATATTTAACTGTAAAATAAAGACTGTAAAAATACTGTAGGCTGTTTAGTTTTTATCATTTTTAAACTAAAAGTTTAAATATACAGTATATTACAT